CTTGTTTGGCCCCGCGGCCCCTAGGCCCCTCGGCCCCCTAGGCCCCTCGGCCCCCCCTAGGCCCCCCCGGCCCCTTGTTTGGCCCCGCGGCCCCTAGGCCCCTCGGCCCCACCTCAGAGCCCTGCGCTCGGCCCCCTGTTTGGCCCCTCGGCCCCTATGGCGTCGCTTCGAGTTCTCCCGTTCTACATGGAAGGCAGACCTGTAGCATTTGACACGTGGCACGACGATCTGCAACTGTACCTACTGAGCGATAGTCGGGACAGTGTCTCACTGTTTGACCACGTGTCCGGTGCCGCTCCAGCCCCTCCCGCCACAGCTGACGTTTCGACTCGTTCCCAGTGGCTGTCTCGTGACGCTACTGCCCGCTTGGCCATTCGCAACCACCTGCACGCAACCACCTAGACTTTGATGTTATTATCTCTGCCATGTATGCTTTGTCTTTTAGTGCTGAGGGTGACTGTTACTGGTGTGTGCCGCCTGACCCAGGTATAGCCGCTGCTGCTCTAGGTGCTAGTGCGTCTGGTACTCCCCCTGGTACTGCGCTTGCTGAGGCCCTGCACACCTTCATGTTGGACTCCGGCGCCTCGCGCTGTTTCTTTCGTGACAGCACCACTCTCACTCCTCTTCCTGCACCTGTTCCGGTCAGACTGGCTGACCCCTCTGGGGGCCCGGTCGTTGCCAATTCCTCCACTGTCCTCCCGTGTCCGGCGGTTCCGTCCGGCTCACTGTCAGGTCTTCACCTCCCCTCGTTCTCTACGAACTTGGTGAGTACCGCTGCCCTTCAGGATGCGATGGTCACTACCACCACTCCTGGGGGTCAGCGTGTGTCGATCTGCACGTGCACACAGACGGGGCGTCACCTGGCTACGTTCACTCGTCGGCCAGGGTCGAGTCTGTACACACTGGCTACCGAGCCTCCTCAGGTTGCTGCGTCCGCTCAGGTGTCCATGTCAGGTCAGGTAGCCGCCTCTTGCTCGTGTCGCTTCCTGTCGCACCAGACTCTCCTTTGGCACCACCGCCTAGGTCACCCCTCCCTGCCACGCCTTCGTGGCATGCACTCCCGTCTCCTTGTCTCTGGTCTCCCCAGGTCTCTGCCTCCCCTGCCGCCCTCACCTGCCCCGCTCTATCTTCCTTGCGTCGAGGGGCGGCAGCGCGCCGCTCCTCACTCCTCCTCGTTTCCCCTGACGACTGCTCCCCTGCAGACCCTCCACATGGACGTGTGGGGCCCAGCCCGCGTCAGTGGACAGGGCCGCGAGCGCTACTTTCTGCTGATAGTTGACGACTACATGCGGTACACCACAGTCTTCCCCTTGCGCAGCAAGGGTGAGGTCTCTGCTGTCTTGATCCCTTGTATCCGCACAGTCCGTCTCCAGCTGCGCGAGCGATTCGGCCAGGACCTTCCTGTCCTGCATCAGCACTCTGACAGAGGCGGTGAGTTCTCCTCCGACCTCTTGCGGGACTTTTGTCGTGGGGAGGGCATTCGCCAGTCGTTCACGCTTCCGGACTCCCCTCAGCAAAATGGGATTGCTGAGCGCCGCATTGGCTTAGTCATGGAGGTCGCTCGTACCTCCATGATCCATGCGGCCGCTCCCCATTTTCTGTGGCCGTTTGCGGTCCGGTAAGCTGCGCATCAGCTCAGCCTTTGGCTCCGTGTCTCTTTGCCGGAGACCTCGCCCACACTGCGTCGTACGGGGAAGGTTGGCGATGCGTCGGTGTCCGGGTCTGGGGTTCTCGTGCCTTTGTTCGCGATACGTCCGCGGACAAGCTCTCCGCCCGCGCCATTCCCTGCGTCTTCCTTGGCTTTGTCCCTGATGCGCCTGGCTGGCAGTTTTACCACCCCACTTCGCGCCGTGTCCTCCCTTCTCAGGACGTCACGTTCGAAGAGTCGGTTCCCTTCTACCGTCTCTTCCCCTACCGCTCTGCCCCTTCCCCTCCCCCGCCGCTCTTCCTTGCTCCCGGTCCACATTCGGTAGACCCCCTTCCGCCCCAGGGTCCTGCTCCCTCGGGAGTGTCTCAGGTAGATGTCAAAATGAACAGAAGGAATGAATGAACTAGGCAGCAGATGGGTACAAGTATGAAAACCTAAAAATGTTGTACCTTGTATTGACTACCCCACTACAGCCTAGATAGACTATAGCAGATATGTTTGACACACCCCCATAGGCAAAGTGGGGGAGAACAAGGGTCACAAGACCAGTCAAGAAAGGAAAAGTTAGCTCAGGGTGGATCACAAAGTCACCACGCAGTCTGAGCACAAGCAAATGGCCACAAGGCCAGTTCACATGCAGAGTTATATAAAGGAAAACAAACAATACAGTGAACACAACCTAGTAAGTGTAAGCATGCAGGTATATGTATATAGAGTACAGTACAAGCAGAGTCAAGAAGTAAGCAAGTGAGGCACAGTAGGTACAAGGCCTAGAACAGTACAGAAACGCTGATGATCACAAGGCTGAAGTGCCTTGGTGAAAACATCAGCAGTGTTGGCCTGTGAGGCCACGTAAGCGAGACGAAGCTGACCACGCTGCTGCAACTCTCGAGCAAGGAAGTAGCGCAGAGCAATGTGCTTCGTTCTGTGCTCCAGTCTGTGCTCCTGACACAAGGCCCGCATGGCCTTGTTGTCGACGTACAGAACTGGAGGAGAACAAGGCGCCTCTCCTTAGTCACTCAGCAGGTAGGTGAGCCAGCGTAACTCCTGTGCAGCCATGGCCCCAGCGTAGATCTCAGCCTCACAACTCGAGCTGAGAACAGAAGACGAGCGGGTAGACCGTCAAGAGACAGAACCAGAACCAAGACTGAAGGTGTAACCCTGTGACGACCGTTGTGTAGCCAAGTCGTCAACCCAGGAAGCGTCTGCGTGACCAGTGAGGACAACTCTAGCCCGTCCTCCAAGCACGAGCCCCATGCCCGACGTACTGCACAACTAGCACAACACCCTCTTCGTAGCATCCCAGTGCACCTTTTGGTGCCTGCCGGGAGCCACGTATGCGAGGTCAGGTCATGTGCAAGTCATCAGGTACATGAGGCAGCCCACAAGCTCTGGATACGGGCCACTCGGCTCTACGGACTCGTCCGAAGGTGGAGCTGAGAGCGAGTGACCGGTAGGCAGAGGAGTGGACTGTGGCGAGGAGTACGTGAAGCCGAAGCACTGAAGGACCTGCTGCACCATGTGTGACTGAGTCAAGGTAATGGTGTGCTGTGCTCTGTCCCGGGTGATCCGCAAGCCAAGATAGCTTGTCAGCTCACCCAGGTCTGTGCACGTGTGTCTCTTCTGTAGCTCGGACTTCACGTGGGCGAGTGCGTCAGTGTCAGCAGTAGCAAAGACGAGGTCGTCTACGTACACGAGAACGTAGAACGGCGGTAGAGTGGTGTCAGTGCGTAAAAACAGAGAAGGGTCAGCAGTGGAAGGAGCAAAACCAAGAGCAGCAAGAGTCGTCCTCAGTGTGTCGTGCCACTCACGAGGTGCCTGGCGGAGACCGTAGACTGGCCGCCGGAGGCTCCACTGGGTACCAGCAGGAAACGACCCAGTGAAGCCAGGTGGGCGGCGCAGCCAGATCTCCTCGTGCAGGCTGCCCAGTAGGAAGGCTGTGCTGAAGTCAAGCGAGTGGAGCTCGTAGTCACGGTAAGCGGCAACGTGCAGCAGTACCCGAAGAGTGGTCATCTTCGGGGTAGGAGAGAAGGTCTGGAAGAAGTCAACTCCCTATCGCTGTCTGAAGCCACGTGCAACGTAACGCGCCTTGAAGACAGGCGGAGAACCCGGCGGCCGCTTCACCCTCAAGATCCACATGCCACTGACGATGTTCGCCCCAGGCGGGGGAACCTCGTCGACGTAGGTGCCTGTGGACTTCCAAGAAGCCATCTCGGCGTCCATGGCTGCCTGCCACTGAGAGGAGTAGGGACCCTCTATCGCCTCTGTGTAAGAGCGCGGGGTCGGGATGTCTGGTGCATCCGGGTCTCCCTCAGGGGCAAGCACCATGGACACGAGATTAGGTACAGCAGCGGAAAAGCACTCAAACTCCTCCTGTCTGTCCTCAAGAACGTCCGTGCCAAGAGCACACTCACCCCCGACGGACGGAGGACAGACAGAGGCAGACGCAGACTCAGCAACAAGACTAGTGGCGTAGTCTAGGGGACAGGCTGCAACAAAGTTAACAAGCTCAGCAACGAGAGCAGACGCAGCAGTGGACTCAAACAAAGGGTCAGTGACAGCAATGGCCAGAAAGCGCGTGACAGTAGGACTAGCAGCACGAAGGGAGTCAGACTCCGGGTCCGGACCGTCAGGAAGAGAGGACGCAGGGGGAGACGACAAAGGGACACGCTGTGGAGCAGTGGAATGACGCAGAGTCATAGAGTGAGTGCCAGGGACAGGAGGAGGACGCGGACGCAAAACACGACCAGCGCGAGCAGTGCGGACAGGCGACTCAGGACGAGACACAGGCGACACAGGACGCGACTCACGCTCACGACGCTCCGTAAGACCTCTAGTCGGTCCAGAGTAAGGAGAAGGACCAGGCAGTGGAGAGGACGGCTGTAATTGCGACTCTGATTTGACAGGCTGTGGACTCAGGAAAGGAGGAGGAGGACGAGGAGAAGGCGGTAGACCAAGAACTTGCTATAGGAGCGGAACGTAGTACGGCCGCGGCCGCGCAGCGCCTCCAGAAACAGCAGAGACAGCACCAGTACCCTCAGCTCCAGGGTCTCCAGTAACAACTCCCGCAGCACCACCAGCCTCAGTACCTGCAGCGCCAACGCCTGTAGTACCACCAGCCCCAGCAGCTCCAGGACCTCCAGTACGAGCACCTCCAGGACCAGCGGCTCCAGCAGCTCCAGCACCAGCAGCTCCTCCAGCAGCACCAGCACCAGCAGCACCTCCAGCAACTCCAGCACCAGCAGCACCTCCAGCAGCACTAGCACCAGTAGCACCTCCAGTAGCTCCAGCACCAACAGCGCCTCCAGCAGCTCCAGCACCAGCAGCACCTCGACAGCGCCGAGCGTACAACTCACGAAGCTGCTGCAGAGAGAGGGGCTCCCGCCGCAACGGGACACCCGGAGAACCTCCAGACTCAGCACCCCCAGACACAGCACCCCCAGGCTCCACACGCTCAGACTCAGCACCCCCAGGCTCCGCACCCGCAGGCTCAGCACCTCCAGACTCCACACGCTCAGGCTCAGCACCCCCAGGCTCCGCACCCCCAGTCCCCGCACCCGCAGGCACAGTACCCCTAGCAGCACCTGAGTCGACAGCTACCTCGACCGGCTCGGCAGGGTCTACCTGAGACACACCTGAGGGGGTAGGACCCTGAGGGGGGAGGGGGTCTACCGGAGGAGTACCTAGTGTGAGGAAGAGTGGCAAGGGGGGGAGAGAGGCAGCGCGGTAGGGAAAGAGACGGTAGTAAGACACCGACTCGTCAAACGTGACGTCCTGAGAGGACAGAACACGACGCGAGGTGGGGTGGTAGAACAGCCACCCAGGTGCGTCAGGGGGGAAGCCAAGGAAGACGCAAGGAACGGCACGGGAGGACAGCTTGTCCGCTGAAGTATCGCGGACAAAAGCTCGAGATCCCCAGACACGGAACGCGGACGCATCGCCAACCTTCCCCGTCCACCTCAGAGTAGGTGTGGTCTCCGGCAAGGAGACACGAGGCTGAAGGTTGATCTGATGCGCAGCATACTGAACCGCGAACGACCACAGAAAATGGGGAGCAGCCGCATGGATCATGGACGTACGAGTGACTTCCATGACAATGCCAATGCGGCGCTCAGCAATCCCATTTTGTTGTGGGGAGGCCGGAAGCGTGAACGTCTGGCGGATGCCCTCCGCACGACAGAAGGCCCTCAGGAAGTCGGAGGAAAACTCACCACCCCTATCTGAGTGCAGACGCAGAACAGGAAGGTCCGAGCCAAAACTCTCACTGAGCTGGCGACGGGCACCGCGGATCCAGACGATCAACACCTCCGTGACGTCACCCTTGCTGCGCAAGGGGAAGACTGTGGTGTAACGCGAGTAGTCGTCAACGACCAGCAGGAAGTAACACTCGTGACCCTGTCCACGGACGCGGGCTGGGCCCCACACGTCCATGTGAAGAGTCTGCAGGGGAGCCTCTGTCGGAGGGAACGAGGAGGAGTGAGGAGCGGCGCGCTGCCGGCCCTCGACACAAGGAACACATGTGGGGGCAGGCCCCGGAGGAAGAGGAGGATGGCACCGGGGGAGACCCGAGACAAGGGTACGGGAGGCCATACCTCGAAGACGAGGCAGGGAGGGGTGACCAAGGCGGTGGTGCCAAAGGAGAGTCTCGTGCGTCAGAGGACGACACGAGCAGTGGGCAGACTCAGGACTAGACTTGGACGCGGCAGCAAACACCTGACTAGACGCGGCTACCTGACCAGACGCAGAGACCGGAGGAGGCGCAGTAGTCAGTGTGTAGAGACTCGACCCAGGACGACGGGTGAACGTGGCCAGGTGGCGGCCCGTCCGAGAGCAAGTGCAGTGGGTCACACGCTGACCTCCAGGGGCGAACTGGTCAACCCACGCGTCCTGGAGGTCAGCTCCACTCACCAAGTTCGTAGAGAACGAGGGGAGGTGGAGTCCCGATAGCAAGCCCGACGGGGCCGCAGGACACGGTAGAACCGTGGAAGAGTGCGCAAGGACTGGGCCCCCAGAGGGGTCAGCAAGGGAGACCGCGACAGGCCGACTGAGCGGCGTGAGTGTGGTGCTGTCTCTAAAGAAAGTGTGAAAGTGTGCAAGGCCTCAGTAGGTGCAGTACCAGAGAGAGCAGACTCACCAGCACCTGGAGCAGCAGACTCACCAGCACCTTGAGCAGCAGACGCACAAGCACCTAGAGCAGCAGCCGCAATGCCCGGGTCGGGCGGGACACTCAGGTAACAGTCACCCTCAGCACTATCAGTCAAAGCATACATGGCAGCAAGGATAGCATCGAAATCAAGATCAAAGATAGGCACATTCTGCATAAGCAGATCATGCCAGCGAGGGAGCTCAACAGCGTCAGGAAACTGGGCACGCCAGGCGTCAGTCAAGCGACCGAAGCAGCGCTGCGTAGTGTGTGGCAGCCCACACGCCTCCCCACGACGACTGCCGGTGCAAAGAACGTAAGTGCAGGGACCAGCACCCCCAGACCTCCCACGCCCAGCGTACCACTCACGAAGCTGCTGGGCCGACGGGGTCTCACGGGAGCGCGGCTGCTGCTGGCGCTGGCTACCACCAAAGCCTCCACGCTGCGCGGCTGCACCTCGACCAGCACCACCGCCGCCGCAACCTCCACCACCGCTGCCGCTGCCTCCACCGCCGCTGCCGCTGCCTCCACCACCGCTGCCGCTGCCTCCACCACCTCCACCGCCGCCACTGAAGCCCCCACTCCCGGTACCACCCCCACCTCCACCGCCACCCCCTCCGCCTCCTCCACCGCCTCCACCGCCGCCCCCGCCGCCCCCTCCACCACCCTTGCTCCCCTTGCCCTTGCTGTTGCGGCGCCTCCCACTAGGGGCAGACGCAGCTCCGACCTCCTCAGTGCCAACGAGGTCGACAGCAGCAGCAGAAGCAACAGAGGGGAGAAGGGGGACAGGGGAACACCCCTCAAAGAATGGGGTGCGACGGTCGCCGCGAGAAGCACCAACAGCTAAGATACTCTTCTCAGCTGCAGCAAGGCGCTCCTCTAGCAGGTCGAGAGTCAGCTCAGTGGGGCAAAGGGAGAGAAAGTGGTCCCTGACTGAAGAAAGGGAGTCAGGGAGGCGGGTGACTAAGTAGTAAAGGGTGATGTACATGGGGGGGGGGGGTTCTTGGCACAGAACTCAGTGGGAAGGCCAGCGCGGTAGCGGGCGTCACTAGTGCGGAGGTGAGCAACGAGGTCAGCGACTGTGGCAAAGGCGGCAAGGTCAGGGAAAAGGTACGGCAGCATGAGGCTGCTGAGGGCAGCAGTGGCAGGGGAGGAGTAGCGCGCAACTACAGCGTCGTACAAAGACTGAGCAGTCTTGTACTGGTCAAAGTGCGCGCGCTCGGCAGGCGGGAGGTGACTACGAACAGCAAGGCGAGCAACAGCGTCACGAGTGGTCCACTGCGAGCGAACCGTGCTGTCAGCAGTGGCAGCAGGTGCAGTAGAGACACCGGACGTGTGATCGAAAAGGGAGACCCCATCCCTAGAGTCACACTGAAGAAAGAGCTGTAGGTCGCCAACCCACACGTCAAAGTCAACTGCACGCCCCTCAGCATCAAACGTGAGAACAGTAGGGCTAGCCATAGTAGCAGTAGCAGCAGTAGCAGTAGCAGCAGTAGTAGTAGAAGCAGCAGTAGCAGAAGTGGCAGCAGAAGCAGAGCAGGCAAAAGGGGCAGCGCGGCTCGGCTCGGCAGGGCAGCGCGGCTCGGTGGGCGAGGCGCGGCTCGGCTGGGCAGCGCGGCTAGACAGAGCGGCGCGGCTCGGTGGGCGGCGCGGCTCGGCTGGGTGGCGCGGCTCGGCTGGGCGGCGCAGCTCGGCCGGGCGGCGCGGCTCGACTGGGCGGCGCAGTGCGGCAAGGGGGGTTGGGCGTGGGGCTTACCAGGGGCGTGACCGTAGGGGTCGCTTCAGCAGAGGGGCCGCGACAGCAGAGGGGCCGCGACAGCAGGGGGGGGGGGGGGAGGGGCGCTGCAGCAGAGGGGCCGCTTCAGCAGAGGGGGCCGTAGCTGCAGAGGCCGCGACAGCAGGGGCTGGGACGGCAGGGGCCGCGACAGCAGAGGCCGCGACAGCAGCAGGGGCCGTGACGGCAGAGGCCGTGACGGCAGCAGGGGCCGCAGTGGCAGACGGGGCCGCGACAGCAGCAGGGGCCACGACGGCAGCAGGGGCCGCGACTGGCAGTAGGGGCCGCAACAGCAGCAGGGGCCGCGTCGGCAGTAGGGGCCGCGACGGCAGTAGGGGCCGCGGCGGCAGTAGGGGCCGTGACGGCAGTAGGGGCCGCGACGGCCGCAGGGGCCGCGTAGGCAATAGGGGCCGCGTCGGCCTGAGGGGCCGTGACGGCAAGAAGGGGCCGCGTCGGCACTAGGGGCCGCGTCGGCAGTAGGGGCCGCGACTGCAGTGAGGGGCCGCGACGGCAGAAATGGGCCGCGTCGGCACTAGGGGCCGCCTCGGCCTTAGGGGCCGCGACGGTAGTAAGGGGTCGCATCGGCAGCAGGGGCAGGCGCGAAGCGCGCTGCGGGCAGGGCAGGAAAAAAAAAGGTTACTATTTCGGTGGGCCCTAAAAAAAACATTCCCACAGGGGAACTTGCTCAGAATACCATGTCAGAATGAACAGAAGGAATGAATGAACTAGGCAGCAGATGGGTACAACTATGAAAACCTAAAAATGTTGTACCCTGTATTGACTACCCCACTACAGCCTAGATAGACTATAACAGATATGTTTGACAGTAGACCCTCTCCCTGGTACTGCGCCTGTTCAGGTAGCTGTCGTCCCAGGTGCTGCTCCAGGTGCTGCGTCTGGGGGTGCGGAGCCGGGGGGTGCGGGGTCTGAGGGTGCTGGGTCTGGGGGTGCTGAGCCTGAGGGTGTTGAGCCTGGGGGTGCTGAGTCGGAGGGTGCGGAGCCTGGGGGTGCTAAGTCGGAGGGTGCGAAGTCTGGGGGTGCTGAGCCTCGGGGTGCTGCTTCGTCTGGAGGTCCTGCTGGTGCTTCACCGCGACTATCCTCGCAGCAGCTGCGTGAGTGGCTTGTTCAGCGCCCACACCGTCGGAGTGGAGCCCCTGGGGCTGGCGAGCCTGGAGACGCTGGAGCTGGAGGTGCTGCTGTTACTACTGGAGCTGGAGACCCTACAGAGCCTGGAGCAGCTGGCGCCGGAGGCGCTGGAGCTGGTGTAGCTGGAGTTGGAGGCCCTGGCGCAGGAGGCGCTGGAGCTGCAGGAGCTGGAGCTGTTGACCCTGGAGCTGGAGGTGCTGGAGGCACTGTGCGGCCGCGCCCGTACTTCGTTCCCCTGCTTCAGCAGGTTCTTGGTGTCCCGTCTTCTACTGGTCTTCCTCCTCCCTTCCTGTGTCCACCGCCTGACCAGTCGCAGCCGCCGTTACAGCCAGCCTCCCCACTGCCTGTTCCCTCTCCTTACACTGAGCAGTCTGGAGGTCTTACAGAGCGCCGTGAGCCTGCGTCTCGTCCTGTCTTGCCTGTTTGCACTGCTCGTCGCGCTCCTCGTTCGCGTCCTCCTCCTGTCCCACGCACGCACACCATGGCACCCCGTCCTTCCTCTGTTCCACTGCGTGTTCCTCTGCCTGCTCCTCCTGAGTCCTCTCTTCCTGAGGTCCCTGACTCTGAGTCTGACCGAGCGCGTGCTGCCAGTCCCACTGTCGCTCGTCTTCTTGCCACTGCTGTCTCTGACCCGTCCTTTGAGTCTGCTGCTGCTTCTACTCTCGTTGCTGACCTGCTTGACTTTGATGCTGCCTGCCGTCTCGACTACACCACTGCTCTAGTTGCTGAGTCTGTGTCTGCCAGTCCTCCGTCCGTCGGGGGTGAGTGTGCTCTTGGCACGGACGTCCTTGAGGACAGTCAGGAGGACTTTGAGTGTCTTGCAGCTGCTGTACCTCGTTTCGCTTCCTTGCTGCTTGCCCCTGAGGGAGACCCGGATGCTCTAGACATCCCGACCCCGCGCTCTTACGCAGAGGCGATTACGGGTCCTTACTCCTCTCAGTGGCAGGCAGCTATGGATGCCGATATGGCATCCTGGAAGTCCACAGGCACTTACGTCGACAAGGTTCCCCCACCTGGGGTGAACATAGTCGATGGCATGTGGATCTTCAGAGTGAAGCGGCTGCCGGGTTCTCCGACTGCCTTCAAGGCGCGCTACGTTGCTCGAGGTTTCAGTCAGCGACAGGGAGTTGACTACTTCCAGACCTTCTCCCCCACCCCGAAGATGACTACTCTTCGGGTGTTGCTGCACGTAGCTGCTCAGCGTGACTACGAGTTACACTCCCTGGACTTCGGTACAGCCTTCCTGCAGGGCAGCCTGCTCGAGGAGATCTGGCTGCGCCGACCACCTGGTTTCACTGGGTCGTTTCCTGCAGGTACCCAGTGGAGCCTCCGCCGGCCAGTCTACGATCTCCACCAGGCGCCTCGCGAGTGGCACGACACACTCAGGACTACACTTGCGGCTCTTGGGTTTGTTTCTTCTACAGCAGACCCGTCGCTATTTCTACGCACCGACACCTCGTTGCCGCCCTTCTACGTCCTAGTGTACGTCGACGACCTTGTCTTTGCCACGGCTGACACTGAGGCACCGACCCTTGTGAAGTCCGAGCTGCAGAAGAGACATACCTGCACTGACCTTGGTGAACTGCGCAGCTATCTTGGCCTGCAGATCACCCGGGACAGAGCACGGCGCACCATCACACTGACTCAGTCACACATGGTGCACCAGGTCCTTCAGCGCTTCGGCTTCCAGTACTCCTCGCCACAGCTCACTCCTCTGTCTACCAACCACTCGCTCTCAGCTCCACCTTCGGACGAGTCCGTAGAGCCGAGTGGTCCGTACCCAGAGCTTGTGGGTTGCCTCATGTACCTGATGACCTGCACACGACCTTACCTCGCGTACCCTCTCAGCCTTCTGGCTCGCTACGTGGCTCCCGATAGGCACCGAAATGTTCACTGGGATGCTGCGAAGAGGGTACTGCGTTACCTGTGCAGTACGTCGGGCATGGGGCTTGTGCTTGGAGGACGGGGTCCAGTTGTCCTCACTGGTCACGCAGACGCTTCCTGGGTTGACGACTCAGCTACGCAGCGGTCGTCGCAGGGTTACACCTTCAGCCTTGGGTCCGGCTCGGTTTCTTGGCGGTCTACCCGCTCGTCCTCAGTTCTCAGCTCCAGCTGTGAGGCTGAGATCTACGCCGGAGCCATGGCTGCTCAGGAGCTACGCTGGCTCACCTACTTGCTGACCGACTTGGGAGAGCAGCCTCGTTCGCCTCCAGTCCTGTACGTAGACAACAAGGCCATGATAGCCTTGTGTCAGGAGCACAGACTGGAGCACTGAACGAAGCACATTGCTCTGCGATACTTCCTTGCTCGAGAGTTGCAGCAGCGTGGCCAGCTTCGTTTAGCGTACGTGGCCACTCGGGCCAACACTGCTGATGTCTTCACCAAGGCACTTCCGCCTGGTGATCATCAGCGCTTTGTTACTGTGTTAGGCCTTGTGCCTACTTTGCCTCACTTGCTTACTGCCTGACTCTGCTTGTACTATGATCTACATATATATACCTGCATGCTTGCACTTGCTAGGGTATGATCACGGTATTGTTTGTTCTCCTTATATAACTCTGCATGTGAACTGGCCTTGTGGCCCTTTGCTTGTGCTCGGACTGTGTGGTGACTTTGTGATCCACCCTGAGCTTGTTTTGCTTTGCTTCTTCTCTTGACTGGTCTTGTGACCATTGCTTGCTCTGGCTATCCCCCACTTCGCCTATGGGGGTGTGTCAAACATATATGCTTAGTTGTATCTAGGCTTAGTTTATGTGTTTACAGTTGTCTAGGCTATAGTGGGTTTAGCCTTAGGGGGTACACAATTTCTCTCGACATTGTACTTGTACCCCTCCCCCTTTCCTAGTCATCAATTCTTGTCATTCTCGCTAGTATTCTAACAAGCATTGCACCCGCAGACAAATATCACGGAGCTGCTGAGTTTTTTAGGGTTCGTTAATTATGTGCGTCGGTTCGTCCCCGACATGGCGACGTTAACGGCGCCACTAACGGATTTCCTGAGAAAGGGGGTCGTTTTTACGTGGGGGGGGGGGGGGGGGGGGGGGAGAGCATGCTGCCTTCTCTGCCCT